GCGATTGCACTCTGGTTGAGAAGCACATCTCGGCTTTTGGCATTCACCTTTACTATCACTTGGAGCTGAAATGCACCCTCCCCTCCTGGTGGGTTGCGCGAGACACGATAGCCATAGAATTGGGCCCCTTCAAGCGGTTTGGAGCCAAATGCCTCCAGAGCTTTCTCCCTGAAGTTGGTCAGCGGAGATTGCTGGATTGCGGCAAGCAGTGACTTGTCGGTGCACCTAGAGTCCAGTTCTAGCACTAGTTCGGCGACCAGAGGTGTGGTGAACGAGCATGTGGGCTTAGCTAACGTGAACTTGACATCCCCATCGATGACCAGGAACTGTATGAGTCTTTTGTGGCTCGTCTTGAGCTTGGTGTCTTCGAGCACAATTTCAAAAGGTCCTTGGATCTTGGATGCTAGGGGACCATAGACTGACACATCAGTGGCAGGCATGACCGTGACAGACGGTGCAAGTGGTTGGGCCTTGATGACATCAGCAACTCCGCTCTTTGGGACCAAAATGACTCCACCTCGACTTTTCGACGCCTGCAATCTGTGGATCTGGGAGACCGAATTGCCTGAGGAATCGACGAACGGATGGGGAGATGGCAGCTTCAAATCTTCCCACCTTGAGGCTTGATGCTGCGCTTTGGCCCACGGGTCGAAAACGGTGAGCGGATCAACCGCTGGCTTTGCTGCATCCACAGGCTGCATCGTCGCATCAGGAGGTTCTGGAGCCCCTGCTGCGAGGTATTCTGGCGGACCTGGCTTGTATAGGATGCGATGCATAAACATGGATCTGACTGCATAGGCGAGCTTGCGAAGCGAGGTGTCTTCGGTGCAATCAGCCCACGCTTCATTGGCATGCTCAAGGATTGAGCTTGTCAGTTGGGCAAATTGTGACTGCTCGAGGGCATGAATGAGTTGTGCTGCCACTTCAGGTGTGGGGATTCGAAACCGGTCAAAGATGCGCTTCAACAGGGCCCATCCACACATGCCGACAGGCGTGGGCACATCTGACACCACATGTGTGATGTTGGCTGGGTGTATCGAAAAGATCTCACCGAAGGAGTGTGCAATAGCTCTTGGATCAGCCCCGGTCGGCAGTGCATTTGCAAACAGGACAAACAAGGACTGACCATGTCGAAAGATGTCACACTGGACCCAATGGCTATGGACCCGCAGGGGAACGACAATCTCGGTGAATCCAACCAAGGGAGTTTGGGCTCCAGTGATTGATTTGCAAGTGGCTGACTGCATGTCCCACAGGAGGGGAGTGACAATGAGCGTGTGCGTTGCATAGGCACGGACAATGTCTAGTGCACTGTCGATTTCATCGCTGGCTGCCCACGTTGGTTCACATCTGAAGTCTTCAAACCGGCGATTGAGGTAGTCGAGCAGGAATGGCGGGGTTTCCCCTGAGAAGGGTGACAAAGTGCTTGCTCTTGTTTCTGGGTTCACCTCACTTGAATGCACATTGGTCGACAGCGGAATGGACACTGCAGACGAAGCCCCCGTTGTTGTCCTTGCAAGGTAAACCAGAAATTTGAATCGAAGTCTGGATGCAAAGCGGAGTAGGTGCAAATCCGCCTCTGCAGCATTCCAATCCTCCTGACTGGCTTCGATGGCAATGTGAATGGCTTGCAGCTTGGCGGGAGGGACCTCTGACACATCGATGGAGTCGGACGAGTCATCGTCGGGAAGCATGGCACTCCACCTTTTCAAGAGGATCCATCCACATAGGTTGTACTTCTGCTCTGGCCAGACTTCCGACACATTGAGTCTAGAGGGGTTGACATCGAAGACAACTGCAAGGATGGTACACAAGCGGTTGTGCAGTTCTGGAGGGATCTGAACGAAAACCAGCTGAATGGTCTCAGCAAGTCGCATCACCTCAACACCAGTCCAATGGTTGTCGATCAGCAACGGCATGATGGAGATTGCGTTGTTTGGGAATTCGATGGGAGCGCCATCGCTAGTTGTCAACTCGTTGATTCTGGTGTCCCAGAACACTGGTGGCAAGAAGGCAATGTGAGGTGTCTGCCAATTGTAGATGGCAGTGTGATGCCAAACTTCGTCTGATGCTAGCCACCCATTGGTGTTGCATGCGAACTCACACCGTTCAGCAAAGGTAGCCCCAGGAAGGAGCACTGTCCTTTTCCGGCACAAATCATAAACTCCACCTGCTCTGATGACTCCGCATTGGGTCACGAAGACATCACCGTCTGCGACAACACAAGGGTCTGTGACAGGGATCCCATTATGCAGCGCACCTGCAAACCTGGTAACATCACCTGGCACAACTTCGAAAGTGGATGTTCCGTCCGGCTGAATGGTTTCACTGAGGACACACGGTGCTTGGGCGAATTGAACTTGGTCACTGCTGCGTACAATGAACCCTGGTATGGCCCTTTGCCACCGAAAATTCTTGTGAAGCGGAATGACAATGCATTTCGTGGGTGGGATCAAGCATTCGAATGCAGTTTTCAACCGAGCTTGGAAGTGATCATCCCCTCCATCAAACGGTGTAAAAGCCCAAAAGTTCCTCTCTGCCCAAATGACGAATGTGCTGCCTGGTGCCAACGTGATGCAGTTCAGATTCTCGAGGGTCTCAATGGTCTGCACGAAACGAAGCTCCTCGATTCCCAGAGGAAGACTGAGGGCCTGGACGAGTGAGGGGTCAAGCGGTTGAACTCTGACTTCACTGTGACTGGCTGTGGGTGATGGCGGTTGGTGCTCTCGTCCATCCCACGCTCCAACTGTGCATAATTGGTACCCACCCAGGTAGAGTTCGAACTCGGCCGATTGCTGGAGGGATGTGATGACCAAGTCTGTCGGCAGTGGGTGCAAGGACACATGTTCAACCCGAATCTGCATCATTTGGTGGAACTGGAGACGGAACAGCATGGCAGCGAGTTCCCTAAAGTTCATATGGTTGTTGACCTCTACTGGATACATGTTGTCCAGAAAGTTGACGAGGACATTCGGGTCATGGACATGGAAGACCGGCTTCGGAAGGCTCAAGACAAACTGAACGACGTTGCGGATCCAAATGTGGTCACCTGACACTTCAAGAACCGTCACATCTGGGTGGATTCTGCTGAGCCAACACTTGCGAATGGACTCGTGGAGCGGAATCTGCATGCTTGTGATCGACGACAAAGCCAAGATGAAGCACACAAGGGCCTGTGGGACGCTAATGGCATTGCCGATTTGACGGAATGCTGTTGCAATGTCACTCGGAAAAGCTATGTCAGACACAGAGCCGAGCAACGCAATGAACTTGACTGGGTCGATGAAGAGGAATTCGTTGTTGACCTCCAGGATGCTGGCGAAGATTCCTCTCTTCTCTAAATGGCTGCGGTCGAGCTTGTGTTGCTGGGTATAGGACGAACAAAGCGTGGGCAATGGCTCTGACACGGACGGAATGCGTGTCCGGATGACCTGCAGGGCTGAGGCAGTAGAGTGAACCCGTGCTCTCTTCCCTGGCGGGAGCATGTGCATGTCCCCGTACTGGGAAAATTGGTCGGGCGACAAGCGCAACTGCTGCAAGACCTGCTGCGGGAGTGAAAATCGATATCGATCGTCGTTCCAGCTGACAATTGGCGGCACACAAAGGCGGATGAGTCCACTGACCTGAACCGCTGGGATGTCGCACCTGACCCAAATCGAAAGCCACCTGGTTCGGTGATGGTTGGCCAACAAGTGGTAGGGGAGGAGTTGATCCCAAACTTGTTTGAATCCTAAGTGGTTCATGAGAGCTCCAAAAACCGGAAAATGGTGGTGCGACTTAATGGCGTCTGCACACTCGAACATAGCCACGATGGGCTGCGTTGCAAACACTTGTTCGATTGCCTCGAGCAGTGCAACTCCGTGTGGTGAATCAAAGCCACCTCCTTTGCCTCCGAGTGACCACGACACGCATGGAGGGGAGATCGTGCAGATCATGTTGTATGGCATACGAAGAGCGTGCAACACTGTCAGATCAGCGATTGGGGCATCAATGATGATCTTCTCCCGGACCGCGTACTCAGCACTTGGAACAAGTGGAGCTTTGTCGATCTTCACACCGTGGTTGAGGCTGGCTGTCCGAACAACATGTGCATCCCAGTCCACATAAACCTGGCGGTCGATGATGAAGCCCTGATTGGTGGATTGGAGCCACTCCGCGGCTTGAGACCAACCACCAAATCCTCCAGCGAACATGTGGTGAATTGCCCAATGCAGCTCCGGGGCCAACTGAGGGACATGGGTCACCGTTGCTCCAGGCCTAAATTCAACAGTCATGGACTCGACGGAAAAGTGGCGCACCACACCAATGCAGATGATCCTCTCTCCACAACAGATCAACGGGTATCGGTTGTCGAGGCCCTCAAGGCGGATTTTGAAGTCACGCTTGGTATCCATCCAACGAAGGCCTTCTTTGGAGTGAAAGGAACAAACTTGGCCTATGATCCAATCATGCGACACCTCTCCGACCTCGATGGCGAACATCTTCCGGAAGCCCAAGTTCCAGTGCCATGAGTCATCAGGGAACTTGAGAAACCTCAGCGCCAGAGAGGTATCCAGCGCCTCATCCCTCAATGACGCTCCCCAAGGGAAGCCATCGGATGAACACATGGCTCTCAGACCCACGCGGCAGCAAAGGTCAACGGAACCGGATGGACACACTGGGGCGTGTCCTTTTTAGACACCGCACCCTGTGTGGCCACAGCGGCACGGTCCCGGGGTCCTAGGTCCTCCCTGAGGCCAAGGCCTTTGGAGCCAGAAGCCTGTGTGGGGGGGGTGATTCATCAACTGTCAACCTCCAATGGAGATCCACAGGTAGTAGGCAGTGTAGGGGCTTCCATTGGTGACTCCTTGGAAGGTGCTGATACCCAACAAAACGGCTCATTTATCGGTGTGGTGTTTTCTGTCAGGGCTGGATCTTCTTCCCATTACAACGACATCAGCGCCCTGCGCCTCTTTTGGGCACACCTGAGGCACCCCATCAGTTTGTCGTTCTGACCACTCCTCCTCAAACTCCTCCAGACCAGGTGGAGGCCGGACACTGGCGCTTTCCTGCGAAGGCGACACGTGGCCACGCCGGAAAAGACGATGGAAACTGCTCCAAACACCGAAAAAGAGAAAATAGGACTGGAAAGTGTGGGAAAGGACTTCTACTTCCAGGTTGATGTTTGATCAGCTCGATCTCACGAAGAAGGACCAAACCATGGAGTCGACTGAACAGGTTGACTGAACAACAAGAACCATGCAGTTCCGTGGCCGTGGGTCATGGCACCAGGATGCCTTGGTGGACTTACCTGCGAGGTCGTTAGCTACATGGTGGACCAGGGCTCCAGGTTTTGACCCAGCCCCACATCAAGCATCTTTAGTCTTGATTTTGGGGACACTCGGCCATTTTCGTGGGCAACCTCTTCGGTCGTGGCTGTCAGAACACTTCAACCAATAAGACTCCTGTTCTTACCATGCTGTCCAGGCTGTCCATCAAAGTTTTCTCGTACCAAACTGTTAAGTGCTGGCCTGGAACTCATCATCCTCGAAGCGCATCGCGAAGGACTCCTCATCCCAGTCTTCATCATCCTCTTCATCAAACTCCTCGGCGGATCGTTCATCAATCTTCCAGCTGGGACGATCGAACGCACGAACGACCCGCCGACCGGGTTCGACCAGTGAGAACAGAAGATGGAACAGGACATCACCTGTTTGATCCTGTTTGTAAATAGCTACTGTACCTGCTCTTTCTATCTCCTTCCTCGCTGTTCATCTTCTGCATCATGAGCTTTTCATCTCATCCTACTCCATCTGAATGCGACTTGGAGTTCTCCTCACCGGATCCATCGCTCGGTCGGATCTCCCAGTCGGACAAAAGCAGAACCTTTGGTGACGAGCAAGAGGAGACTCCCAACTGGGATAAAAAGCCCCAAAGCACCCATGTCTCTCTCTCTCTATATATATATATATATGTTGCCCCCTAGATGCTACACACAATAAAATCCACACCTGTTTCCACGGCGTATCCCAAGACTCCATGAAATCCCCTTCATCGCCGGGCTCCAAGGCGTCCTGTCATCGAAACTCGAAGGTCGAGGCGCCCGGCCGTGGCCGCCGGCCACCGATGTCGAAAGTTTGCCCACCCTCCGCAGAAGTCCAGGTTTCACCCAACTCCTGTCTGTCACTGTGCTTATTTCACCTAGCTTTTTGGGGGGGTTTTCCTTGCCCCCCAAATGGAAGGGATAGACTAAGGGACGACTAGAGTAACATGTCACGTCAGCTCGTGCCCTGTCAGCTCTGCACCACCTCTTGACCTGAGACCTTAAGCTCTGTTCCTCAATCTTTCCAGCTGATGTCCTGACCCTTGGAGAGAAGTCAAAGAAAGAAGGGAATGGGAAGAGGAGGAGAAGGAGGTGGAACCACGACTTCATCAAAGGCCCGCCACCCGCCTTTCTTACCGCCGTCCTCCCAAAAATGGGGCGCGGAACCCGAACGTCCGATGGCGAACGCGTTCGGTTGAAGGTGTCCTGCTCTGGGGAGTCTCTGGCATCAGCTTTGCCTCTCCTGGACTGTGTGGCACGTCGCCCCTCTCTCGGGCGTCGGACGTCGCCCGTCGAACGATCGGCGAAGCGAGCTCCGGGCACCGGCAGCTTCGGCGACATTCTGAGTGAACATGGCAGCCGCCATTCTGAGTGAACTGGCCACTCAAGCACAAGGGGTGGACCCCGAAACCCTCCATGGGCCTTCTACTTGAAGGGGTTGAAGGCATTTTCTTGCACCCCCGAGCCAGACCAGACTCGTGTACATGTAGCAAACAGAAATAACTGGTCTTGGGAATTTGGGGCAGAGGTCGTGCACACACAGGGGCAGCAAGTCAATCTTAGTTGATGCGATGTGTCTGCTTGTAGCTCGGGCAAAGTCCACAGACAGCACAATAATGGTGTGTAAATGGTCTGTTTCTGCTTGCCTTTCTGATCCCTGCGAATGTAATTACCTATGTACCAATGATACTTGCCGTCTCAGTCTCAGCGCTTCCCATGACCCTTTGGTATCACTCAAAAGGATATGTATGCATGAAACCGAACCAAGACAATACGAAACAAACCAAGCCAGATGCATGTTGTTTGAACTTACCAATCAAAGCATGTTCAGGTCGTGGCAATGTCAAATTTGAATTTGCAAAACAAGCATCATCTATAGAGGAAGTTTTATCTAATGTGTACCCTTTTCGCATCGTCGTATGCGTTACGAAGATGTCTGCCAAATGTGACGCATATGATTATACACAAGAGTTGACTCAGTTTACCTGGATCTGCATGAAATCGTATCCAACAACGTGTATGTATGCGAGTTAAACCATCTGGATAATATGGAGGTCTACATCCCAAATTCTTCACATACTCAGTTGTTGTGTGAGCCTAGATGGTACTGTCCTGGAAAATACTGTGGTGTGATGCTGAGAGCATCGGCTTGTCCTCTAAGTGACCTTTCCTTTCTTAGGCAACGCAAACACATGAGGGTCTTGATAATGGCAAGGTCTGGGATGTCTATTGGCATCAAGTTTGATCCATGCGGGAAACTGGACACCAGTGTTTTCGAACAATGCAATATAGCACGTGCGCACCACGTGATACCTACCTTGGCAGTGGCAGAGAGATTGGAGGCTTGAATCACCTTAGCAAGGATGGAAATCTGGGTGAACAAGACCTTAACATCCCATACATAACCAAACCTGTTGGCCAGAATCAGCTGTTGGACGCCTTTCTATGATACACATGGGCCATGTGAGTTTTCAGAATTTGGTGGAAGCCACAGGGTGCCAGATACTTCATAACTCTACTTGAACTTGAACACTATATACTTCCGAGAGGTTGAAGGCATTTAGAACACGAACGAACATGCCTGTCCGCAACCACCCAGATGCTGGAACCGCTTCTGGTCTTCTGGCAGCTCCACGTCTCGCATCATCTAACCCCGCGCTTCTACTCGGTGCACCGCGCTCCGTGCCCAAAAACACTCGGCCCCACCGGTCGCGCTGCACGCCACCGGTTTGCACCTGGAGGTGGGTCGTCGCTCCGAACGCCTCGGCTGAAGACAAAGTGATTGCCGCCGGTGCTTTGGGGAGGCACAAGATGTGGTTAGTGTGAAGCGCGGGGAGCGTCGGAAGTTCTGATTCAGTTCGGAGGACACCCCAAAAAAATGGGTTTCCTATATATATATATAAGTATATATAAATCCTTGGGCCTCCATGGCAGATGTCGGACTTGACACCTCCGCATGTGCGTGAGGCCCAGATTTTGTGGCATGCGTTTTTCCCAATAATATATATATATATATTTATATTTATACCAGGAACCTCCAAGTAAGTAGCCTCTTAGAGGTTAAGGGCCATCTGTTGGAAGGTCCTAGTATCGGTGTCAGTTTCATCATGTTCAACGTTTAATCTTCGTCTCTGAGGTATTGAGAAACATCTCCGGTTCTCCCGAACTGCCTTGGACACATGTGACCAAGGCTTCACCTGGTTTCTTTCCGGGTGAGGGCCTCTTTCACCGCTTACGGCGGGATCCCCGGGACCGGTCTCGCTGTGTGGAAAATAAAGATTGATCAAAGACCCATCAAATATGCTGGTTCATCGCCTGAAACAGCCCGTAGTCCTTCAGTCGACACCGATATATCTCGCTGCGGTTGGAACCGCGAAGTAGCGTGGAATTGGTCCAGGCCTCCATGTGGCAGCACACAGGGAAGCAGCTCCAATGAGCCTGGCCAAGTGTAGAGGAGAGAGAATTTAGGCTTTGGGAATTCCCAAGAACAACCGAAGAAGTTTTGAGGTGAGTGGCCAACGCCACGAAATTTCAACACATCCGGACCTTGGGTTCAAACAGGACCCTCTGAGCACCTTCAAAACATGACCAGGACGATTCCGGACATTGCCAAATGCACTCATGGAAACCCCTTCCTTTGAGTCCTGACAATCTTCACCTTTGAAGCTCCAGCATTCTGAACAAGACACAAGAAGACCTCCTCAAAGGTACCGATCCGGCCCAAGTGCACCAGCCCATTCTACCCTTCAATACTCTTCCCATCACCCCACTCACTGGCCATTCAACCCGTCGTCCAAATCGCCTCGGCAGCTGGCTGCTGCTGGCCCCGCCCGACACGGCGCCCCTCCAAAACTGCAAAGGCCCTTGAGGCCCTGAGGGCCACGACGAGCGTCGGAGCCGCGGCACCCGCGGCGCCTGACGCGAGTGGCGAATTGGATCGAAGAAGAAGCCGGAGAAACGGCATGGGTCTTAAGTCTGCCACAGTAGGAGATGAAAATTATACCTGCGTTGACCCCAAACAGTTGCACATTTATCAAATAGGCCACGGAGACGAACTGTCAAACAATCCACGGCTCGAACCATTCCTACTCTGCTCGTCAATCTGCTTCGGCTGGGGACATTCAGGGTGTTGATGTCCTGCAGTGATGACGAATGAAGGCTCTTTCGAAAGAAGGCTCTCTTGTCAAGAGGCTCAAAGCAAGCAAGTGAACAAAGCACGACTGAGCCTTTTGAAGTTTCAAGATCCCTTTGTTCTGCGTGTCGAAACTTCTGCTTGCGTCGGCCGCGTCCGACAAATTGACACGCTTGAATAGGTTTGGCGCGCAACTTCCGCAACGGCCAGAATCCGAAAAGCTTAAAGCTAGATAATGAAACATAGCTGAGCCTGTTGGAGCTTCCCATTCTGCTCGTCCTTCGACCGTCCTTCTGCTTCAGCTGGCTAGCCAGGGTCTCGACGAGCAAGCAAGTGAACAAAGCACGACTGAGCCTTTTCAAGCTTCACGATCGCCGCGTTCTGCGTGTTGACAGTAAAGCTTGCGTCGGCCCTATCCTACAAATTGACAGGCTTGAATAGATACGGCGCGCAACATCCACAACGGCCATTGCACATAACGACAACAGTCCTCCTCCGCCTGTTTCTTCAGGTTCTCGACATGAAGAGGCGGTTCTGCTCTTTCAGCTCCTTCATCGCCTCTCCTCTCGCAGCTCGAAGCCCAAGGAGCGCTCGTACTTCCCGCCGCCTTTGCCGCCTTTCCCCTCCGGGCTTGTTTCTGCTCTTGGCTCAATTGGCTCAAGGTCAGGACCCGCAATTTAGACAAACAAACAGAACATATGCTAATCTACTGAAGGTGCTGAGCTCTACTGGCGTTTGACATTTGGCTTTATCAGGCTTTTTCAATGGTCAAGAGATGTTACTTTTTTGCTGACATGGAGCCGTTTGTGGAGTGCCTGCATGTGCAATGCTCCAAGAAAAGGTCAGTGACCGCATCTGCAAGATATCACAAGGCTGCCAAGTGTTGATTGCAGTGTGTCTTTTGGAGCTTTGGTGCTGGTGCCGCTGCAGGGTGCCACTGCTATCAATCGCAGTTTGCACTCGTGGAGGCTTGGCGCTGGTGATGCTGCAGGGTGCTGCTGCCAGATGTTGATTGCAGGTGCGGGCGCGGCTGCAAAGGGCTGCTGCTATCACTAGCAGTTTGCGCTTGTTGCGGCTGGGTGCTGCAGGGTGCTAGTGCCAGATGTTGATGGCAGCTGGGTGCTGGTGCCACTGCAGGGCGCCGCTGCTACCGCTAGCAGCTTGCACTTGTGGAGGCTGGTTGCCGCAGGGTGATGCTTCCAGATGTTGATGGCAGCTGGGTGCTGGTCTACCGCTAGCAGCTTGCACTTGTGGAGGCTGGTTGCCGCAGGGTGCTGCTTCCAGATGTTGATGGCAGCTGGGCGCTGGTGCCGCTGCAGGGTGCCGCTGTTGGATGTCTATGGCAAGTCCCACCACCACTACAACGACCACACCACTATTCGCTTTTGAATATCATTTCTTTGATAGTGACAAATCCTATTGCTACTGCAACTACACGACAAGCCTGTCTACCATGAGCGCTACTAGTACTAGGACAACCTCTGGTACAATATTGAGTTTCCATTTCATGCAGCGTGCCAGTCAGTTCCCAAGGTTCGGGCCCCGAACTTCGCTTTAGAGTTTGGGCCACCACGACTGTCCGTAATAAAGCACCAATTAGAACAACCACAAGAGGGAGACAAGTGGGAGACAATTGCAAAAATCATTTGGCCAAGAGTATCCAAGCAAGGAGACAAGCAGGGAGACAAGTGGGAGACAACTGCAAAATCATTTGGCCAAGAGTATCCAAGCAAGGAAACAAGCAGGGAGACAAGTGCAAAGACATCCGGCCAAGTGTATCCAGAGTAGGCAAAGGAGACAGAGCCAAAATCATCCGGCCCAGGCATTGCAGCCCTTCAAAAGGAGCCCATACATGTACCTGTTTGGGGAACTTTAAGAAAACAATGAAGAATCGAACAAAGAAGGGAAGCAAACACAAATTTTGCCGAACTGTTGTGGAAAGAAACAACACCCGTGAGGGAAAAGGAAAACACCCAACACACCCTTGCGACCCCTTTGAGTGTCCTTCGAATCTTGCCCAATGCTAACGCCACTGCAATTCAATTGTAGGTCCCAACGTGCATCCAAAATGTTGAGTTTCATGTTTTGTGACAAACCTCTGTGATTGCAAAAGCATCGTATTTGTTCATCACTCTCTTTCAGGGCGTCAACATTGTGAGACTTTGGACAAAACATCATAGCCCATGGCTGTCGCCCATCATGGCGGCTCTCGCCACAGGGTTTGGTTCCCTTTCCGGATGCGCGTGGACTCAATGCATTTGGAACGCCGTCTTTGTTCGATGGTCCAGAGGCTATCACAAGGATACCCTAAAGGTGTTCGGTCCAATATGCTTGGATCATTGGCATGCCTTTCACATCCTTCCACACGAGTGACGTAAGGCTATGCGATTATTGCTGGCAATCTAGCATCAAGCATCCAAATGTCCTGTGACATCCTGTGACGGGGTGATTTAAAGGCCTCCTTTACCACCTGCCAGCTAGCACCTGTTAGGATGTCCTGGTAGGGATTCTCGCTCTCCCCAAGGGTAAAATGAGTCATTGGTGTTCTGGTTCCCACTCCCTGGTGCCAGCATCCTGCCTGGAGGATAGGCCTCGCTGACAGCCTCAGGCCGCAGCAGTGGAGAAGTAAAGGTGAAGCCTGAAAGTTGCTGGGAAGGTGTTGAATTGACAGTCATTGGAACAAAAGCAACACCCCCGTGGCTTTACTGAACTTCCTGAAGTCCCGAAAAAAGTTTGAACAGAGATGGTCCTTAAGTTTAGTCCTTGCCATTTTGTGTATGTCCACAAGATCTTGTAGTTCAGAAAGAATAATCTCAAGTCTTGGATGTTTTCCGTCAATATCCCTCAGATGGGTTCACCCCCAAAACCCTGGGTGGTCACATGAGATGAAGGGGTTCTATCTGTGGGTGCACAAATCGAAGTGTACCAAGTTTCGAAGGCCTTATGGCTATGATCGCACCGGAGCCCTTTTTAGCACAGAAAAGGAGCGCTTCACGCTCACGAAGGTTATGAGCCCAACGCGGTGTTCTTAGGAAGACCACCTCGACCTTCTCGCGAGGAGAGGCGAGTTGATGGCCGCCATGGCTCGAAGGAGGCAGCGGACGGCGGCTGAGGGCGGAGGCGCGGCAGGCGCCGGATCCCCGGAAGGGGGTTCCTCCATGGAAAGCGCCCGAGAGGAGGGTGGCACTTTGGCGCTGGAAGATGCGCCGCCGGAGGCGGGGATCGTCGCTTTGGTCTCGCAGGAGCTGCTGCCGGTGGGCCCCCCGACCTCCTATGGCCCTCAGAGGCGAGAGGAGTCCAGAAAGAAGGATGGGAAAGGGTTTGGGGGACATCCAGCCCCCCAGGTAAATCCCTTTTGGTCGCAGACGATGAAGGATGAAGCTATGCTCCGAGCGATGCGACCTACCTCACTGCCACACAGTTCGGCACCTTCGACTGGAGAGATGGCGACCGAGGATGCGGTTGGGATGGACCTCAAGGAGGTTATGAAGGCCGTGATGGCACAGAATTCGATGCTCAAGAGGGAGTTGGCGGAATTGAAGAAGAAGATCGAGGACTCCGACCGGGAGAAGGACAGGGGTTTCAAGGAGGCTGATCGACCGAGGCCTCCATCGTCGACTCCTCCACCGAGTCCACCGACAGGTCCGCCACCCACCACTCCGGAGGCTGAAAGGAAGGTGGGCACAACGACCCTGGGAGCGATTCCAGAGTTTCCTGGAGATGGATATGGAGGACTACAGCATGCGGTTCATCGACCTTCGGGAGAACTTCATGAAGTTGGACGTGGACCTCCTCCGGTACCAGAATCGTGGCTGGGAGCCATTCAAGCGGGAGTTCTTGGAGGGCAGGGTCACGGATTTGAGAACCGGGAGGGATTTGCAACTCCACATCACGGAACCCAAGGAGGGCTAGGACCTGGTCGTGGAGGACTTCCGGACTGCGCCGTGAAGAATGGGGACCTGGGCAAGGGTTCGCCGTTGGAGCAGGCTGCCCAGTCGGTGTTGAGACAGTTGGGGACAGGAGCTTCCGATGGTGGCTGGGGAGAATCCATTCGTTCGGTGGAGCTGCCGTCCCTACCGGAGATGAGAGAAGGGGAGCTTGGGTCGCTGGTGTTGGGAGATTGGATTCAACTCATCTCCCCAACTATGAGGGATTTGAGCGCCACTTCATGGAAATGGTGGGAGGAAGTCCTGCAGTTGGCCATGGCGGCTTACAGGGAATGGCTGAGAGCTGAGCCGGTCCAGCGGCTTCACATCAAGACACAAGTGCCGGCAGAGTGTGGTACAGTGTGGAGCAGGCTGGAGCAGAGGGGACAGCTTATGTTGCTGAATGCCGTGCCGAACTCCATCCGAGCAGAGACACTGGCGAACAGGGCTTCAAGTTCGGTGGATGTGCTCTACGCTCTGTTCAGGAGGTACCAGCCGGGAGGACTGGCTGAGAGATCCAGGCTTCTTCGTCAGCTGGTGGAGCCAAAAACACCACAGGGCCTCAATGAGACGGTGGAACTCCTCAGGGGATGGCGGAGAAGTCTTCGACGAGCTCAGGAACTTGAGATCGCGACCCCGGATTCAACTTTGCTCCTGGGGGCCTTGGACAAGGCATCGAACCAAGCAGCATTCCGTACCTCTGCTACTAGGGCGGCGCTGGGGGTGGACGTGACTCCTACGCTGGAATCCGTGCTGAACTTCGCGGATATGCTGACAGCTGAGGCAGAGTCACTGGCCATCAGCGAAATCCAGCCCCAGAATGAGGTCAAGTCCAACCCCCCGACCACCAAGGTCAAGGCGATGTCCACGGTCTTGGAGGAGAAGCCGGACAAGGGGGCTGGAAAGGCAAAGACGGATGGACCAAAGGAGGAGAAGATCTGCCGCTTCTGGGGAACAGAGGATGGATGTCGAAAAGGCCAAGATTGCAGGTTCAAGCATGATTGGACAGGCATAGAAAAGAAGGGCCGCTGCTTTGGGTGTTCGGCGACTGGTCACTCCAAGAAGGAATGCCCAGCATCCAAGTCCAAGGTGAAGGACTCTCCTGAGAAGAACGTGGTCAAGGCCATCAAGGAGAAGGGGAGTTCCGGGTCTGGAAAGACCGATGCTGTGGATTTTGGTCCACAGGTTGGGGGGAGCGAGACAGATCAGACCAACTCCAACGAGGGCGACAAGGGTGCTGGGACATCCGGCGAGATGAAAGATCTCTTGAACGAGGCCACCACACTCTTGAAGAGCTTGCGACCGTCGGCATCAGCTAAGGCCATTCGGCTCAGCAGCCTGGAGGTGAGAGAAGGGGGACGTGCTCTTCTTGATGGGGGAGCTACCCACTGCTTGCGAAAGGCAGCCAGCGAGGAGGAATGGTCCAGGGCCCAAGAGGTCAATGTGGAACTGGCAGCCGGGACTGCGGTACTTCGACTCCTCCCTTGGACAAGGACACTGCTGACCCAGGAAGAGGTGCAGGTGATTGTCCCCTTGGGGGTGCTCATCTCGCTGGGCTATGAGGCGGTCTGGGAGAAGTCGAGGTTCGAATTGACAGATCCGGCCGGCATTGTCCTGGATACCAAGGTGGAGAACTCGTGCCCTACGATCAGTGAGACGTTGGCCATGGAGCTGATTCAGGAGATCGAGCGAAGTATGGTAAGGGAACGGGCCAGACTGGCCTACTTGGCCGGCGAAGAGGTGGGCCTAGAGTTGGAGAAGGACGAGGCCGAGCAGCTGAAGGAGCTCAAGGACCTCTTCCCGCAAGTGCCTCACCAAATCCTCGAGAGACTCCTACCCAAGAAAAGCTGGACAGGAGAAGCTTTGCCCTGGAACAGGCATGAGAGAAGGCGGATTCGAAGAGCTAAGGAAGTGGTGGTCCACCTGTTCAGTGGGGACTCGAAGAAGTTCTGGCAGAAAGAACTCGAGGCTGAAAGTCGAGCCGTCTTGTGCATCGACACTGTACTGGACCCAGCCATGAACTTGCTCCGAGATGACATCTTTGCCTACCTGCTGAACATCGCCGATGGTGGAACTCTGAGTGCTTTGATTGGTGGGCCACCGTGCAGGACGATGAGCAGGTTGCGATATAGACAGCCGGGCCCACCGCCACTGAGGGAGCGAGAAGGACCTTACCGCTTTGGACTGCCACAGTTGGACAGGTACCTGCGGAAACAGGTGGAGGATGACACGGTCTTGTACCTGAGGCAGCTCTATCTCCAGCATCGGGCGGCACTGGCTAGGAAGCCGAAGACCACCCTCTTTGTCATCGAGCAGCCGGAGGATCCCGAGGAGTACATCAGGAACGAAGAGAAGAACGTCCAGCGCTATGTCTCCTACTGGTGCTGGCCGGAATGGAAGAGTTTCCGCGAGAAGTGGGGAATGTTCGAAGTGGCTTTCGACCAAGGCCCGATGGGGCACCAGAGGAGAAAACCTACTCGACTGGGAACCAACGTAGCGCGGTTGGCCGAACTTCAAGATATCCGAGGTCAGGGAGAAGGTGGAAACGCCACGCTGCCGGAGGACCTGACCGAGAGAATCAAGCAGAGCAGGGATTGGTCAGCATGGGCGCCCGGATTGAAGAAGGCGCTGGCAATTGCTGTTCGAGAGGCCCTGAACTCCCCAGTGAACCAGGTGAAACGAATGGACTTGGAGGCCTGGAAAAGACATCTCTTGAACGGGCATCTGCCCTACAATAGAGAATGCAAGTCTTGCGTCATTGCTGCATCACGCGGCAGGGCGCACAAGCGGGTCCCACATGCTGAAGCGTATACGCTGTCGATCGACACTGCAGGGCCGTTCATGTTAGCAGATGACCAACTCGGAAAGGGCCGCTTTGTGCTGGTGGGAGTCTACCTGGTCCCAGTTACCAAGAGTGGCCAGTCGATCATCCCGATCCACGAAGAGGACGAGTTGACTGGGGCAGAAGGTGACGGACCAGAACTGACGGTGGTTGACGAGGAGCGAGGTGATCACGACCAAGGAGAACCATGGCCGGGCTTGGATGATGAGAAAGAATGGGCAGCGCTGGTGGAGCCAGAGCGAGACTTCCAGGTCAAGCAAGTGACGCTTGCAGAGGTCATGGAGAATCGAGGAGCGTCGGCGGTCCTGGAGGCAGTGGGACGGATGGTGGCCAAGCTGAACTTCTTGGGTCTTCCTCTCAAGCGGCTCCACTCAGACCGGGCTGGCGAGTATCAGAGCAAGATCTTCGACAGGTGGATCCGAGACAGAGGTCTGTGTCGCACTTTTACAGATGGTGACAACTTTAAGGGCAACGGCCGAGCGGAGGGAGCAGTGGCACAGCTCAAACGAGGTGCCAGAACCCTCCTAGTGGCTGCAGGCCTTGATGAGAGCTATTGGTGTCACGCCACTCGACATTGGGCTGACACTCGACTCCGAAGTCAACTGGAGTCAATGGGGTGGAAGCATCGACAGCTTGCGACCTTTGGGCAGGTGGTCTGGGCCAAAAGGAAGCTCTACAGCGACCGCCAGAAGTACTTGTCTACCACCAGGACACAGGTGAGAGTGCTGTGCCCAGCGGTCACGATGTCTATGACCTCGCCGGGATACTTTGTGGAGGAGCTCACCACGGGAAAGTTGTTCCACACGGCCGACATCATCCAGGTGGAGGACATGCC